TTTCTTATCATGTGTCTACATTTATTTACGAATTAAGATACAGAAGTCAAACCCACTGCTTATTCGTATAAATCCGTACACCTAAAGGATATTCCCAAGCGCAATGCCACTCTAGACAAAAAAAAATATATTATACCAACAGCTATTTAAGGACTTTCGAACATTTGTCAATGTCCAGTCCGAAATTCTAGGCGTGGGAGTTGATGTTAATTGATTCGATACGCTTATCTTAAAAAGTTAAAGGATTGCTACTGCGAGTTTCTCAAATACGTTTCATAACGTACAACGCCAAATAAGGCCGGAATCTAGCCGACAAATACTTCCAAGGTCTAATGGCTTGAATAATTCATTGCTTTTTTTAGTTCCACTTCGTCTTGAGGCTTGTGAGGCTGTCTGGGAGAAAAATACGGACCGTCGGGGTATACGAGGGGCATCGGAAGTATTACCGCATCTGATATGTTGTCAACATTCAGAAAAGTTCAGCTTTAGTTGATTTACAAAACATCTTTTTAGGACTACGCTCGATATTGGTCAATAAACAGAAGGAAGGAGATACATATTTAGGTTATGATCACCATTAATGTTTTAGTTGTCGTTGCTGATATTTAATTTTCTCATAATTCTTTTAAATATAAAATTTGTTCAGTTACTAGATACATCAATGAAAGCACTAGCAAACATAAATTAAAAGATGTCACTTTCTATTGTATCTACTTTATATAAGAAACACTTGCACTTTGATTACTTTTCTTCTGCTGACTGTCTTCTCATGTAAAGTGTAGGTATCACCATGGGCGTAACCAGGAGGGCAAGGGGCGCCCCCCCTAGTTGTTGCCGCTGTATGGTGTAAGTTTCAAAAAGTGTTTAGTGTTCAAATTTTATTTAAATCAAACGAAAAAGTGTTTAGGTTTTGAAGTGTCTTGAAGTTAGTTTTTTTTTGAGCTCTGGGCCCATCCCTAGCAAAAATCCTAGCTACGCCCATGGGTATTACATTTTATTGTCTGAGAAAAAGTATTGTATTTGTACTTATTTAGTAATTTACAACTGAAAGAGGATACAGATGTAGTCTTTATCATTAGAATACGTATTTAGAATTTCAAAATAAGAAACCAATGGAAAATACGCAACATTTTCATAAAAATTTAAATCAGCAATCGCTTCAGAAATATCTCTAAAACCAAGAACTAATTTTCTCAAATAATTTACATGATTTGCATATCGTATACCCGTTTTATACCTAATTCTGCTTGTTTATTCTGTTCTTGTGAGTAATCGTGTTCTCTTTGTGTAGAAAATCCACCAGCATTATTCACATTCGGTGAGGCTTATTATGTCAAAGAAGTCGACTCTTGTATCACATTTCATTGTCATATAAACATGACAACGGGTCGACCCCTTTAAAGATGCTGAGTTGCAACCCCATTCATCACCACCGATACAGATTTTTCGATTCTATTTTTTTAGCAGGTAAATTTGTTGAAATATATCCTTATCTATCTTAACGTTTCTGTTTTTAAATTTTGAATGTCGTTACTAATCGTTTAAAGTTTAAACTGTCGATTTGTTTGATAACATATTTAGCTAGACGTTTAACGAAGATAAAATGCAAGTAAATAACCTGTGGATTATATGGAATTCATGTCAGTAACCGACGACGTTGAAAACTTTATCTCCCAGTCAAAATTTAATTAAAAGTAGTAGAGGTTATAGCTAAGTATGTACCTACATGCACTATGCACACCATTGTGTAAATTATATATATAAATGCAATTACGTTTTCCTTTCTCACACATATCACTTACATAATGAGTAGGTATTAAAAAAATCTATAAAAAAATCTAATAAAATTCCAATTAGTAGTAACATTCCATAGTGGCAACCAGTAGGATTTTTTTAAATTTACAACACTTTTTTCTAACTGCATGGTGTGGTGACACTTTCCAGCAACAGTAAATGCTTATCTGTACTATAAATAATCGTGAAGTTTAACAAAAAGAATGCCTGCATATTGAAATGTCCTTAAATTAATATTAATTATGACATTCTAAGAAATATGCGCTGATAATAATGTCGGCACTTTACTGTTGAGAACGCTGAAACGAAAAATTGTTTACCTGAAAGTGTCAACAATTAACGGTGGGTAGTAACTTTTTCAAGAGATAATTTTTTTAATTCCTCGGATAAGTATAACTGTAAACAAGCAGTATTAAGTATTTTCAGTCTCCTCACTACCCTATTACATTCATAGGAAAATTGTCCCAGTAGGAATTTCAGTAGAGTTTGTGTAGGCGGTGTAGAGCTTAAAAAAATTGGAATGAAACAGTATTTGCCAGTACGCTTTTTTCAGTTCAATAATTAATTTATAAAGGGGGATATACAACCAAGATTTTTTTTTATTTTCATATTACGTTTTTGACTTATCCATAATTTGATACAAACTTTAAGGTATCAAGATTTATAGTGGGATATTTCGAGAAGTAAATTGTATGCTGGTAAGATTTTTTTCAAAAAAAGTATACTTTAGTGGCTACCAAAATTCATTCTTTTATTTTCTGTCCAGTCTTGTTTTAGTCTAACCAAATTACACTTGGAGAAAAAAAAATTGTTATCTGGACTTTTATAAGTGGAAATGGTAAAAGGGCTTATAATAAACTTTAAAAAAATAAATGCGTGAGCAGGGGTGGCGGAGGGTTGATTTGGGGGGTTGAAAAGTTGTGAAAAATTGTATCATTGGGATTTCTGGAGAAAGTTGGATAATTTTTTTCGTTTTAACCTATACTTTTTGGTGGAATAAAAAAATCTGTAATCACAGTTCAAAAACATGCTCAAAAATGCAAAAAAATAAGAAATGACTTGAAATGAATTTTTCAGTAATTGTTGATTTGTTTAAATTAAAAAAAAATCAAAAACTGATTACACCATTCAATTCTACGAAAAAAATATACAAAAAAAACTGTGTCATTGTTTGACCCAAAACTTCATTTTTGTACAGTATTGCTATAAACATCTATGTAAGTCGAATTACAAATGCACAAATGATAAATTTTCTCTGGATTATTTGAGATTTTAGCAATACAAAGTATTAACTGCAAAGTCTACTGTTGACGCGAAACCCGAAAACCCGGAATTTTGTAAAATCGTTTTATTTTTTTAGCTTGTTTTAGCTATCATCTTAAATTTTTCCTGTTTACGGCTCTGAACGCTTTCAAAATATCTATTGGATGAAGTCACAACAGAATAAAAGTCAATACGGCACAAAATACCCAACAATGTTTTTTACTACTATTAGCAATACTAATTAGAAATAATAAAACATTTCATAAATTCGTATTACTTTTTCAATAAGTTCCACTTAAATTGTTGGATATTTTGTGCTGTATTGACTTTTATGCTGTTATGACTTACTCCAATAGATATTTTGAAAGCGTTCAGAGCTGTACTCTGGAAAAATTTTAAATTATAGTTAAACACCTTTTTATTACAATAAAATAGTAATATCATCTAATTCAGAATTAAAAATGAATAGATTTTGCCATTAAAATAGCAGCGACGTATTTAAAAAATTTAACCTGAAGATGGCCCCTCGAAGACGAAACGTCGGAATGAAAAAATGTTGACGCCATTGAATAGAGCGAAAAAAGTGTCAATCTAAATTTTATTTTAAAATTCGTTTTCAAATAAAGTCAGAAAAAAATTAAACAATTTGTCTCCGGAATTTTAAAACTTTCGAAACGGCATATTGTTAGGTATAAAACAACACAACTTTTTCTCCGTATCTCTTACAGTTTCCTAGATCCTAATGCTATCCGATCCTTATCTTGGACACCCTGTATATCTATGAATTTATCAAAATTTTTAAAAAAATAAGTACACTAATCGATCCTACGGAAAAAAATATTAGTTATTTTATTTATTCACTATTCGACTTACTTATAGCAATACTGTACAAAAATAAAGTTTTGGGTCAAACAATGAGACCCAGTTTTTTTTGTTTTTTTTCCCGTGCAATTGACTGGTGTAATCAGTTTTTGATTTTTTAAAATTTAAACAAATTATTAACAATTACTGAAAAATTCATTGTTACAAGTAATTTTTTATATTTTTTGCATTTTTGAGCATGTTTTTGAACTGTGATTGCAGATTTTTTTATTTCACCAAAAAGTATGTCAAAAAGAAAACAAATCTCAGAAACTTCTTGTTTTTTTTAATCTTAAAAAATTGGTGGTTATTTAAGACACAGAAAGGTATACTTTCACCAAGTTTCGTCAAAATTAAATTATTTTTGCGGAAATGAGAAATAAAAACGCAAAATCAGAAAAAAAACGGGTTTTCGTATTTTTCTCGGAGATTTTGAGGTTATATTAAAAAGTGACCTCTACAAAAGTTGTAGATTTTTGCATGATCTACAAGTTTTATAATGGATATTTTTTTGGTTGACGTCAACTTTCGTCAGAGCTCCCAATGGTACAATTTTTCACAACTTTTCAACCCCCGAATTAACCCTCCGCCGCCCCTGCCCACGCATTTATTTTTTTTCGATTATTATAAGCCCCTTTACCATTTCCACTTATACTCGTAAAAGTCCAGGTAACAATTTTCTTTTTTTTCCTCTAAATGAGTTATTTCGATCGGTCTATTTAAAGGAGGCCACACAAGCACAAGCCGATTCACAAAAATAAATCGATAAATCCAGAATGCGTTGTTCGTGTTCCTTTTGATCCTGACACTGAAAGATCGACAGGACCGCCGGGTCCACCGAGATCAGCAAACCTCCAGGAACGAGGCAATCTGTCACACGTCGAAAGCGGAAATGCAGAAACGGCGCCTCTATGATTGGCAGGAAGGACTGCGCCGCGCTAAACTAGGCGCCTTCCACGTTACCTGCGACATCAAGGATCCACATTGGTCGGTCCCGCCCCACAACAACAGGCGCCTCCGACCATTGGCCGGGAGCTCCCCCCTGCGCCTATAAATCGCTTGCGCCGGAACTGTTCCCCGTCAAACGCCAGATCGCTTCCATTCGGTGCGCTCGTCTCATTTCACCGCGTTCAGTTCAGTTCAGTGTTTGACTTGGTCAAAATGAAAGCCGCCGTCAGTGCAGTGTGTACCGAAAACGGTGTTACCGCCGTGAGCGGTAGAGTGTCAAAGAGGAAGGATATCGAGAACGAGGAGATCCAGATGTACCTCAGCAAACTCAAGGACCTGGTGCCCTTCATGCCCAAGAACAAGAAGCTGAGCAAGCTGGAAGTCATCCAGTACGTCATCGACTACATCTGCGATCTGCAGAGCGCGTTGGAGACGCACCCCGCAGTCAACGCCTTCGACGCCGCTACGGCGCTCAGTCAGAAGAAGTCGCAGGCGGCCGCGAGTCCCAGGCAGCCCCTTGGGGTCAGGCCCAGCCCCAACACCATCCTCACGCCGTGCGAGGCGCCGATCCTGCAAAATATCACGGTGAGTTGAGCAGGATCCGTAAAAACGGGCGACGTTAAGCAAATTTTCACCTCCGTCAATGTTTAAATCACATGAAATGGCAAATTATTTAATAAATACAAGTTTTGCGTAGTAAGTTTTCTGACAAATACAATTTTCTCATTGAAGCTCGATACGAAAATTATTTTATTTAAAAAAAAGAGAGTTAAATTAGGCCCTAATCTCCTAATTAAATTTAAATGAGCCACTGACTACTAAGAATTCGAGTACATAAAACCATATTCATGTCTTAATCATTCATTGACCGATTTCGATTGCGAAACTGCTTAGCAGGAAATATCGCGTACGGTGAAAAATTGCCTAACAGCACGGCCCGTCGACAAACAAAAACAGTTTCGCAACGGCGGCGTTACGAAAACAGAGTGAAAAAGTTTGCACATCGCGCTTTGTATTACGATTCCGTCCCCAATGCATAGCAATGTCCCCGTATAACGTTTCGCGGCGCGTCACGACCTAGCAGGTGTGATTTAACCCATTGTTAGGCGTTCACAATAAAAGTTACACATGTTTAATTGATAAAAATTCATCGCTGACCCCGTGAGTCCCTACATTGTCCCACGGGTCGAGCATATATATGTATATATATATATCCGGGATCAACACCTGGGTGTACCCTCCAGACGAATATAACGGTTTCGTGCAGATGTACGCACACGTGTACATCTGGATAAGTTTTCCTTTCTTCCCGAACACACACACTCCATTGATCCCAGCAAAATAATCGAATCTAATAATAAGAGTATTCATTTTGAGAGTCGCTCCCGGCTCCTTATCACAACTGCGGGCCAAGTGTTCGACGAACACATGTCTATTGGGGTAATTGGAAGGTCAGCTGTCTGGGCTGCGCACATGGCACTTAGGGGGTATTAATTAATTAATTTATACGTTGGATTGCCCCTATGCGACAGATTTCCCCAGCTGTTCACACGTTTTCAATTCGTGATCGCGCATTTTCGACACACGTGTACTATGCCGCGAAGAAATGCCTCGCAAATGTGCAGACTTGTCCTTATTTTGCTTTCGGTTGACTTACGGTGATGTTTTGTTACAGACTCCCGAGGCCCTGACGCCATCGGACAGGCAAGTGTCCTGCTGAATCCTTCCGGGTGATGTTGAATATATCACGTGATCATGTTGTCATCTCATTCCAATTCCCTAAGAAGAGCAACGCAACCAACGGTCCGGGGGGGAGTCCTTCCGTCTTTTTCGTTTTGGAAGAAAATCACCTCATTCTGACTACACGTATTTAGGGAACGACTGAAATCATTTATTTATATACAGAAGAGTGATCTTAGTAAATAATGTAAAGGGTGTGAGTGGGACAGAGAGACAGAGAGAGGGATGCATAGAGAGCACTTAGTGATGTACCTGTTTATGTTGCAATTTTGTTATTTAGATTTTATTTTATTGTTTTGTAAATATCGTAAATGAGTAATAGGCGGGTTTACAACAATCTTCATGTACAGTTCTTTGGTGTTGTATCGAAATTTTCCACGGAATTTTGACACTCTGCCACTATCACGGATTCTATTGTAATTATTTGATTATAATATTTGTGAGTTTTTATCCTGTGATTTTTTTAGTATATAATTGTGTACAAATTTATTACGCGTTGGATCGCCCATTTAAGGGACCATCTGATGGTTTGTTAGGCCGGGTGGTTCCGACCTATGTACATTTCTGTTTAGAAAACTTTGTAAATAGTTACCCATATAGCAACTGAACGTTGTTGAAAATTTTATTATATTATATAAAGATATTGATTTGAAATAAAATATGATTTTGCATAAGACATTCTCTTTCATTCGCTCCTTTAACTGCCCGTTGTGACATAACACTATAAAACACAAAGTTAAGTGATAAAAAATAAATTTGCAATTTATTAAGCTTGCATAAACTAATGTGTGCTTCTTATTTTACGGTTATATAAAAATTTAAACGTTTAAATTAAAAATCAAATGGCAAGAAACATAATTCCTAAATAACAACGAAAAATATCACACCAGTTTAATGAATTACATATTTTTTAATTCTTTGACTGCAAATCAAAAATCATAATTTCTCTAAGTTATAACATTCTTTATAATTACACTTATAAGTGCAATTTTCAGAAAGGGCACTTTTGAAATAAGACATCTAAAGAGTAATATGTTAATCTGTGAACGATTTTTATATTCTACACTGAGAGAAAGACCGTCATAATTATAAAGTTAGGCATTAGGCAATTAGTGGGATAAAATCGCTTCTCGAACTCTTAGTTCTTCAAGTAGGTGACCCTGAAGTATATCCAGATGAAACTTATACCATCTTGTAGAGTACGTTTTTAGCTATAAGAAATGGGAGATTACAACTTTTTTTAGTAGGACTGAACTTTTAAAATGGCCCTTAAGGATGACCGAGGAGATTTTTCTCTACTAAATATAAAGTGAAAATTGAGCTGTAAGTTCCACAGAATTATGAAATTTCTTTTACATTTTATACATTTATTTTAGATTTAGTTTCAATACAGATGGTAATAGCTCGCTATATTGTGCATCTTTTAGTATGTTGATCCACCACATTACGTTTGACGAGGAAGTCACAAATTACATACGCTACCTGAAGATGAAAAACCTCAAAGAAAGGCAAAAAATTAGCTAGGCCATAAAACGTTTCGTTTTCGAGATACGTACAGCAATTAAAAGAGATCCTTTTTCTTAGAAACACGGAATACCTTCGCCACTGGCATTCATTAATTTGTTATATTTTAATTTGGCGTGTATAATTCAGGACACCCTGTACAGAAATTATATTGCAAGTATATCAAATTGCCGATTAAATTTATATGATCTCATAAAAACAAAAAAGAAGAAAATTTGGATGATGTCTGTCGTTAAGTGGCAAATTACAAATACATGCGTAAATAAGCAATTAGTTGTAGTCCTTAAAATTATTGTATTTCGATTGATTTAGCCAACTGGAACCTCTTATCTCAAGTAACAAATTAATAACGCGTTTTTTGAGATTCGCTAGGGATACAATCGAATTTGGGAACTGTTTACTTAAACCGAAAAGATAATTTTTGATTGGGTATTTGCAAGCACCTGTAGACTCACCCGATAAGTTAAACAAACGCAAGATGTTTACACAACATTTAGAACTGTCGCAAATTTTCCTATGACGATAATTCCTTGGAATAGAATTAATTTTACTAAAGATCAGATCATTTCTCGAAATAAAACGTAAAGAGCAATGGGCAACTTTTTACTAGTTAGTTGTATCAGAATCCTCCCATAACAAATCACAGTTCAAAACATATTTCTTAAGGTAGTTATAGACCTCTTAAGATTTTAGTAATTGGTGAGAGTTAAAACTATAAAAAAAATTGTTTTAAAAATGAAAACGCATAGACGGAATTGACTTTTCTATTTTTGTAAATCTATTGTTTACAAGTACCTACTTAATTGTGTGAAATAAAACTGATAAATGATTTCAAGATGCATGAAATGACGAAATAGGCAATTATAAGTACAAATATTGCAAAAATAAAGATACGACCTCTATCTGTACACATGTGATATATTAATAGAGATTAAATGGTGGATATTCCCAAAAGTAATAATTTTAAAAATTTAGTGCAAGCGTACTCTTAAGGTCTTTTGAACCGAAGATTGTGAGAACCGTGTAAATAATCCTCAATATTATAAATTGGCTTTCCACGTACACTTTAAAAGATGTACAATAAGATAAGGCGGCTTAAAATATCTTAGATAAAACCAGATTACAAACTTCAGAGCACTCTCCTAAATAAATAAGTACACTTGTTTAAAAATGTTTGATTGGCTTATTATGGTTGGTCTATACATAATTACAGTTCATTGGATACTTTTTCTCCCTAAATATTTGCAGTAAAATCGCGAACCACTAAACTTTACGCAGTATGCATATTTATTTAGGATAATTATTATATTTTACAAAATGTACTGCAATTTTCAACAACAGGAATTAGTCATTTTAGCGTAGAACATATTAGATAATTAGAAATTTTGCTCGAGTATCTCGAGTATTGTCGTAACTAAATATGTAGATCCACTAAAAACAAAGAAGCAGAAGTCTGTACATTCTTCAGACTAACGAATAGTAACCAAAAAAAAGTTATTACTTAAAACAGAGAGCCAATAAAAGCTGAACAAATACAAGACTAATCGTAAGACATGGATATAGAAACATGAACTGTTGACTCCATGGATCAGTAGTGTTACGAAAATATTAACGCAGATTCACTTCTGTCGAAAGCAACCATCTTTACTTAGAAAATGTCAATGTTCTTAGTACCCACATCCACAGCCCACACCAGTCATTTGTTTCTATCTGTATCGAAACATGCAACATATCATACGATTCTGTATGAAATCATTTTTAATTTTAAATATTTGCGGTAGATTAATTTCACATTTCCTGCGTTAATGTCAACTTAACCAATGAAACACTCCAATAAATGTAAAATTACCCCATACACTCATTAGATCAACTTGAGATAGGATTGCATCGAAAATTGATTACATCCAACCAAACAAGAAACTGTGATTGGAAGCCTACCAACACTTGTATGCGTATTTCTTGTATATGTAAATATTCGACGTAAGTTTATTACACAAAAGATTTTTTAAGATGATTTTGAAGAAAATTTTTCTTAATAATCTCAATCTAAAGCTATCGATCCTATGTAAATTCTTCGGAATGTAATTTTCTCAAAAAATATGCGTGTATGAAAATTTTATGAGCTTATATCCTTTAGGATTTTCACGGCAGGGTGCACAAACCCTAGATGGTATAACCTAGGCTATGCTAGGTTAATTTTTTGGGAGAAATTTAACTCTGGTGTTGATTTTGAAAATTTCTGAAATTTATTTATTATTTGACTGGTTATTGATCTGCAGGTGGTCTGGGTGGACGTACGAACACTCTCTACGTTCGCGCCGCAGGCTGCCCTGTAGCGAGGTCCGCGTTAGAATCTGGAAATTGGTATCTTGCCCGTCTCCAAAGAGTTGTGAGTATGTAAATTATTTAGATCAATGGTGACTATAAGACATTGCTTTACTTCGAGTTTCGAATTTTTTAGGGCTAAATTTGAAAGGGTGGGGAAAATTTTTGCGCCTTCCTTCGGCAATAAACTATCCCTAGATGTAAATGCACAGTACCAACGCTTGAAAATATCAAACTGGCTGGCAATAAAACAACTGTACTCGTTATCACGCGCCGAACGGTACTATCAGCAGGCCATGCGGGCTGTGGTCACAGCACGCGGAAACAGGAACGGGAAAGTTTCCGCAAAAGCGATACCACCCGGATTTTCAAAACCCAGTTTTAGATATCTCACCACTTCCTCGACTAGTTCAACGCTCCGATGCGGAATTCTCATGGCACACCGTGTGATTATTCTACCTGTCGTGGGAAACACGACCTTCGGGGCCGCTGCTCCTATTCGCTAATGGCGAGGTGTTGTAACTTCAAATTGCCTGTTTTCTGGAAATTCTTGTCGCTATTGTCGACAGCCGCACAAACAACTTAGTAGAAATTTAATACAGAGCTCGAAATTGTGTCCTAAGTACCTTGAAATAGTTATAAACAAGATGTTCAAGAAAACTGTAAATAATTTGGTTCATACACTAGCTATCCAGTCGCATTAGTTTCATTTAAGGATAAAAAAAATTGCTTAAAAACGAAATGCATTGAAATTTGTACAAGGCAAATATCTCGATAACCATGGGAGATATCTAAAACGAACAAGAGTAATATTTTTATGAAAATAAGGACATTCTTTCATGTTTTTAATACACAGTTACGGAAATTGACGCCCTATACAAGCTACGCCAAAATTAGTTAAAAATTCTCATTTGGCATGTCAAAAAACATAATAGTGCCAATTTTTTTGTTCATACTCTAACTTCTAACAGTTTCAAAATAAAATTCAACCATTGAACACTCTGAATCTTTAAAACCAGCGACATTTGCATAAGGCATATTTGGCTCAATCGACTAATTTTGTCCACCAGTATCTCCTACTTCGAGATTTCCCAACATTTCGCAGACACTCTGTATAATTACCGATTAAACCACTAAAACTAACTCATGGTTAAAATCAAATGATCTTCATCGTACTCTCGAACATTCTCAATAATATCAGTCAAGGCAGGGTCAATAGCGTCTTCCAGTAATAATTGCAAATACATTTGGCCAGTCAAATTACCAGGTAGAAAAAAAGGACCCACCAGACGGTCACCGAAAATTCCAGCCCATATATTTAATTTTTCCGGTTGCTGTGTATGCACCTCGAGAAAAACTCTTGGGTTTGAATCGGACCAATAGCGGCAATTGTGACGATTTACCATTCCGTTCAAGAAAATACTGCATTCATCAGAAAAACAGATGTTAAAAAGGAACTGTGGATGGTTCCCTGCTTGCAAATGGCGGCTATAATCATCCTCATGAAGTTCCTGGACTAAATGTATTTTGTGTGGATGGAATTTATTCTTCTTCAAAATGGTTTGTATGCTAGTTCGATTGATCCCAGACACAGATGCCAGCTGCCTCGTACTTAATGTAGGATCAAGATAAACTTGTCCCAAAACTGCAACTTTATTAGCTTCTTTGAATATAGGTTTTTCAATTTCTCGTTTTTTATTGGCTACGTTCCCTGTTTCTTGAAGCTTTTTTAATAACTCTAGACACACATACTTCCTCCTGACATGTCGATCTTGATGTTGTTCATTAAATAGCTGAGCTGTTCTATTCGCACATTTATTGTTCATA